AGATATTCTGTAACTCTTACAAATTACACTCAAAGTTGTCACACAAATTGACGTGATATGGCATTCTAGTCCAAAATCCTTGCATAATTGGGCACAGGATAATTTGTCTAAATCCTTTGGTATGCACTGGTTTAATTTAAATAACCTTTTGTAAAATAGGTTTCCTTCCATTTTATACATATTCATGAAGACATGCTGTCAGCATTGAAAGATAGCCGAGCAGAATAAAGTCCTATCACACTGACAAGACAATTTCCTTGGGTAATGTAATCAGATAGTACAGCTGCATTCCTTGTTAATCTGAATTTAGTTCAAATAGCTAAAGAGCTTTATTCACTTTGTGATAAAAATTATACACTTGCAAAATAAGTTTTGGACGATTCACATAAATTTATTTTTGTAATAATTATTTATTGCAAGAGACTTTTAAAAAATACATTGAAGTGGCATTAGATCAAGAAGAAATAACCTGATTTCTGAAACTGTACTTCATCAAATGTACTAGGCTTCCATAATAGCAGTATTAGGGTGTCTGCTTAGTTAATTATGCAGGTTTTTACTTTATTTTTTGCCTTACTTGGAAAATTTACTAACATAATTTTTCAACACACTTTTTAAGCCAGATCATTTTAAACGAGATTCCTTTATCTAATCCTTAAGACTGAGTGACAAGAGGAGACAGAAAGGAAGGAGGCTTTAACGCTAATTTGCCTAGGATTATTTTTTAGCATGAAAACTGGACAACTGATGATATAGGGCAGTGTTTCTCAGATGTATCAGATCATGAGACTTAACTGCAATGCTTGTTTAAAATTATGGAATCCCAGGTCTCATTCCTACAGGTTCTGATTCCTGAGGTTTGGGATGCGTCTTAGGAATGTGTATTATATTAAAAGCACTTAATGAGTGCAGTGTAGGAAATACATGGCATCATTGAAAGAACTCTGACCTAGTCTTAGTGTTCAAAACACCAGGGTTGCCAGTTCTTCTGTGCGTGCTTACCTGACTCATGTAATCTCACTGGGTCTAAATCTCCTCAGTTGCAAAGGTACAAAAACAACAAAAAACAAAAAGAGTTTGGCCGTAGTCCACAAACCCCATGAAGACAGGCGCCAGGCAGATTTTGTTCACTGCCTGATCCCCTGCACCTAGCCTGCTGCCTGTCACAGAGCAGTCTCTCTGTTAGTATTTGTCGACTAATTCACTATATGGATGAGCTACAAGGCTCTTCTTGGCTCTAAGATTATATGACTTTAAAATGAAGAAGTAATAAATGCATTTGGTCTGCCAATTACAAAATAATAATTATTCTCAAAAATAAAACAAGATATAAACTGAAAAAGGTCCTGCTTGTTTTTACTGGTTTCCGGGCTGCACATTCCTGGTGAACATTTCAAAGGATGTGAGTTGAGTAATTTGATTTTATGTCTTCCTTACTGGACTGTGACTGTTAAAGGTAATGCAATTCATTACCGTGTTAACACAATGTTTAGTTCACAGTGTATGCTCAGTAAAAGTAAGTGGAATCTGGAAAACTCAGTAAATTCTATGGAGAATGATGCAGAAGAATGTAAGTTCTCTTGCTCTGTGGACAGGTATACTTAGTCACACCATTACTTTTAGGACTTTGCTTATTTTAGTCCTGAAGCATACGTTAAGCAACAAATCCAGAATTGTCAGAAATGTTCCCTGGCACAAGTAGATTGTGCAGAAGTGAGTGTTAAAAACTGATTATGAAGGAAAAATAAATCCTGAAAACTCTATTTATAAAAGGCTGGTCACAGTTGCTCACACCTCTAATCCCAGCACTTTAGGAGGTGAGGCGATCTGATCACTTGAGGTCAGGAGTTTGAGACCAGCCTGGTCAACATGGTGAAACTCCATCTCTAATAAAAATACAAAAATTAACCAGGCATGGTGGTGCAAGCCTGTAATCCCAGGCACTTGAGAGGCTGAGGCACGAGAATGGCTTGAGTCACAGAGGCGGGGGTTGCAGTGAACCGAGACTGCGCTACTGCACTGCAGCCTGGGTGACAAAGGGAAACTCCATCTAAAAAAAAAAAAAAGAAGAAGAAGAAACAACAACAACAAAAAAAACCCCTCTATTT